TTTCAAAAATGCTTAATATCTCTCAAGTTGAACATAAGCAAATTTTGCTGCTATTTGCAACAAATCATTGCCAAAGAGATTGATTGTATGAACCATTAGCATAAAATTTCAAGGACTTTTTTCTTAATAAATCAAAGGAGTGATTTCTTAAGATTAATTACATACCATAGTGGAGCAAATGTAGATGACAAATCAAGAAAAGGGTATGGCCACCTGTTGCAAATAGTTGCAGTTATAGGAAATTAGAAGTGAGATTTTTGTAGTAAAAAGAAAAGAGTGTTAAAAGGGAGACGAGTCTACCAAAGCGAAACGCAGGCATGGACGATCCATTGGAACATGACATAAACAGCAGTCCACAGGAAAAAGTATGCAATTCGAAACCAAGGGAACCGCTGGAAGAGAAATACAAGTCTAAAAGATTAAATTGTGAAGCAAAATAGGAATTGAAATCAAGATAAAAGAGCTGCAACATACCAAGCAATTCAAAGCAGTGTCGCCGAGCAGAAAAACAGCATTGATGGTATGCATATTTATAATCAACTGCCACATCAAAGATTAAGCACACTGTTTAGAAGACAAACAGAAGTTTTGATGATGAATCTTATGGATTTGCATGATATCAACTTTGCACCATATGGGTTTTACTCAAGGAAGCTAAATGATTTAGAAATTGACACATAAGAGGTTGATTTCATGTAGTTATATGTATATATATATCTAATGATATTAAAAGTTTTATGTTATTGAAACAGAAAATACCCTGCATCTATGAGACTACATAACCCTATGCTAAATTATGCAAAAATGTTGCTTTGATACAATCTGTCGTATAGTTATAGTTGCACAATTTAACTAGGTGTGGATTTTATTACTTACAAAATTCAAATCGTAATCTTTGATTGCTAGAAACAGTACAATTATGAACCAAAAGACGCAGTCCGTGAGCATCACCGCACCTGCATTTATAAGCGCTCGCGTTCCTCCGAAGACAACGTGGACCCGATCTGGACCAGCCGCGGGTCCTCCTCAGTACCAATATTCACGGTAATGATTTCATCAGTTAAGGGTTTGACAAATCTCTCCTGCTCCTGCTCAATTAAACGTTGCAAAACCAGAGGAATTTCTTCCTCGTCGTTTTCATCAAAATTTTGAAAGTCTGAATTAATGCAATAAATCAAGGGCACAGAAAAGTACTCAGAAACCACAGCTACCTGATTCTCATTAAGCACATCCAAATCGTCCAATTCTTCGGTTACAACAGACTCAAAAGAGAAAGAAAAAGACGACCTGGACAAGACTGTGGCATCCGGGTTATCATCCCCAGGATTACCAGACTCAAACTCAGTCGAGCTGGAACCTGATTCCGACTCACAAGATTCGGTGGAATCAAATTCCGGCTCACTACCTGACCCGGTGCTGCTGGACAAAAATCCCTCCTCGTACTGCCAAGTGAGAGATTGTGCGATAAATGCATCCAAAATAGTTGTTGGAAGGCCTGCAGCCGTTTCATCCCCGATCACACATATCGAGAAGTTATCCCCCAAGCACTTATGGTCGATCGGAGGGTCTGAGAGTAGACTTGCCAGCGCTACCCCCATTTCAAGTTCGGTGTCCTCAGACTGCACTTTCTTACTCTGTTCAACTTCAGCTGATGGGTCTGTCTGCTCTTCGGCAACGTCATCCCCGGGTAGTTGCAGGTCAAAGAAGATCTCGAAACCTGGCACGTGCTTCTTCTCCGCGTTTAGCCATGGCTCTGGGAAGTCGCAAAACGGAAAGTCCTCCCCCTCCTGGACGAAGCGTCCGTTTAGGGTTCCCTGAATGGGCCTATGCATCAATTCGAAAGGCTTCCCAGCCTGCTTTGCTCTGGCTCTTCCAGCCATTTCCTTTCTCTTCCTCACCCAGTCCTCTTTGGTGGGCAGATAACCCAAGCCAAAGGTATGAGGGTTGTGTGGCACTTCGGCCAATGCTGAGACGCCCTTCCGGCCGCTCCTTCCCAATCCCATCCCGGGGACGTGTTGTAATTTGTTCATGAGGTAGACGGATTGAGCACTGACGTACACCCCCCTTATTCACAGCCATAATATTCTGCACCACTCGAGCCTCAGCCAAAGTGAACCCTGATAAGAACACATCCTCAGTGCCGTGCTCGATTTCCAAGACTGGTGTGGACACTTCCGGCGGCGGATGGATTGATGAATTCCCGAAGACAATAGCCACCCCCTTCCCGTAAGGGTACTTTAACATCTAATACAAAGTGAAAGAGACTGCCTTGACCTGGTTCAACCACGGTCGCCCCAAAAGTAGATTGAAGGTTACGAGAACGTCCAAGACATGGAATTCAATGTTGTGTTGTCCGAGACCAACCTGGTTCTGAATTTTGACAGTTCCCATCACTTCCCTGCTAGTATTATCATATGCTCTGATCACCTGAGTAGTCGGCACAAAGTTCGCGGGCTTCAACCCGATTGCATACGCTGTTCTAGCTGGGCAGACATTGATGGCGGACCCGGTATCAACAAGTACCACCGGTATCCACTTGTCTCTACATTCCATGGAAACGTAGAGGGGTTTGTTATGATTTGTACCCTCAGGCGGTAGTTCTTTGTCTGAAAAGGTCAATGTCGGGGAACCTCCTCCCGAAAAAACCAGCCCAACCAGCTGTTCTGGTGTAGTATCTATAGAGAGTTTGGCCTTGTCCATGGCAGATAAGACAGCCTGTCTGTGTACTCGTGAAGCCATAAGCAGTCCCCAGATGGAGATGTCTGCTTGTATCTTCTGCAGCTGTTTCAGTACAGCCTCCTCTTCGATCTGCTTCTCTTTTTGTCTCTTGGCTTCTTTGTCCTTTCCAGATGTCTCGGGTTGGTCTAGGTGCGGGGGCTTGAAGTACCGCCCGCTTCTTGTCATGTGATCAACCTCGTCGAGGTACCAGGTGTCATCTGGTTGATTGCTTCCCCAGTCATCGTCTGTGTGGGCAAGACATAAGTCATCGTCTTCCCAGCACATTCCGTTGGCATTCAAAAGGCACCTGTCTGGCTCGAGCATGTTTGTACTCACAGCACTTTCAGCCTGCATGCTCACAACATCCTCCGTTCTTGTGCCCACAGCACTTTCGATCCCCTCATGAATTTTGGCTTTCCCGGTTCTCTCAGAACCCTGTTGTTCTACCTGCGTCAGTGTAGTTTGTTGCTCAACTTTCCCTGCATTCACAATGCTTCTGTCCTGAGCGAAATTCTTTGTACCGGCGCTCTCCGGCAATGTAATCTGACTTCTGGCCCTTCCGGCCACAGTTGATATTCTTGCCCCTGCCGGGCCCCGTTCTGGTTGGGATTCTTCCACCACATCTGGCTGATCATCAAGCCATCCAGTAGCCTCTGCCGATTCCTCATAATCAAACCAGTTGACTGCCGCGCCCCCTGATTCTTGGTCATCGAAAAACTGTAGGTTGACAAAGTCCTCTTCCACAGCCGTCAAATCATTTGCCCCTTGCTCAAATCCATCCCCCTGGATCACACACAGCTCTTCCTTCTCTGGCAATTCTAAACCCAGCCTAATCCGGCCTGTTGACAAGATGTACTCACTCGAATCATAGGCTTCCCCAGCTAAACTCTGTTCAATTCCAGACTCAACAATTCCATCCTTTTCTGAAATCTGCCTTGCCTCATCTTCGACGGTCACCAACGTCGGCTCTGGTTGGGTTGTGGAGATGTCCAACATGCACAAAGAGTTAGTGCAGTCGGGAAGGAGCACCTCCAGCTTAGGTAGATGGGTAGGAGTAATATAGATGCTAGGATCGTAAGACACGACCCCAGTCTGGATAAGATTGACTCTTTTGGGAGGTGGAGCTTGGTTGTGTGTAGGGAGTGGATTGGTTGTGACGTTAGGTCTTTCTGGAGATAGAATCACATTTTTGTCAACGAGGTCTTGAATCTCGCGACGCAGCCTGAAACATTAGTCAGTATCATGACCGTGCTGCTGGTGATATGCACAGTACTTGGCTGGGTTGTG